TAGAACAAAGATATAGCCTGATACAATTACTACATACATCCTATATAATAAAATGAAAAAGCATGGAAACAAACAAATAATTGCATTGTAATGTAACTTTGCATGACTCTGACAGTGATTAAGAATCAACATTGTGCAGAAGTATTTATCAAACTTTGTATTACTAATTATAAGTACATAATGCTGTCTCTTATACACATCTAGATGTGTATAAGAGACAGGTACATAATGAGTTTGTTAATTTCTTTTGTTGAATTTAATTTAAGAATTAATCATGTTATAAGAAAAAGATTAGTAATATTAATCGTACTATCAAAGGAAAAGTTAGTATGACACGATTTCTTATAACGTGATTTTGTACAATGTGTAATGTATTAATTAACAAACGTTATATGAGGGTCTACTGTACTTTAATTAAACGTTCACCTTTATCATAGAAGAAGAATATACTATATTTAAGAAAATGTGCTATGAAATGCAATAATTTGAAACCGGCCAAACATATTTATTCGGTTTCAAACGTTCGCATATTTATAACACAATATTTTGATATAACCAGACTTTGTATAAACTACAAAAAATTAACATAATGATATTGATAAGTCTGAAAGTTATTTTTGAGGGAAATATTATCCATAATTATATTTAAATGTTTTATCATTATGAGAATTGTAAATTGGTATTAGTGAAACTGTACTTTTAGTCTATGTAAAATAAAGATAAAGTATGTAATCATTTAAAAAACATTTAATATTGAATTTTGTATTAAAATTGTATCATGAAAAAAAAAAGAAAACTCACATAGACAAATGTTGTTGATGTGGATTATTAAATGACTGCATTTCATCACAACTTTCTCCGCCACTACTAGACGCAGTACAATCAGAGTCGAGATTAGACTCCACAATGTGTAGTTGAGTAGCCAGAGGTCCGGCCATATTTTCTACCTCATCACCTTTAACTTTAATTTGGGGAGTACCAAACACTGGTTGACGATTACCATTAGTACCGGAAGTACTACCCAAACTATCACGTGATCCACCACCAAAATATCGACAACATAATCGCTGTCGATTCACATTATTGCTTTGAGCAACACACATTTTCTCAATTTTTTGCAAAAATGAATTCAAACTACTATTAATCTCAGGAAAGTTTCTAACATTAGATTTGGAACTGATATTAACCAATTCTTGAAACAAATATTTTTTGACCCCATGATGGGCAAGTTCAAGAACTCCCGTGTTTTCTTCCGCCACATGCCTGCCTATTATTCTCGCTTGAAGCTTCCTCAGTCTTCTTAGTAGAAATGCACACCTCCTTTCATTCTCGAATTGTTTTTGTGCAACAATGTCTTGTTGCAATTTCAAATTGTTAGGTTTTTGTTGGTTTAAAGTTTCTGCAATATTCATATTGTTGCAAAGACTCATGACATCAACGTCGTTAAGTAAATCCCGTTCGAAAGATGAAAACCCTTCCTCGGGCATAGGGAACATCTCTACACCATCCAAAGTGCTTGGTACTTGTTCGCTGACACCTGCAGATATGTTTTCTGCATTTTCCACTCCTTCAATAGATTTGATGACTTGCAGAAGCTCTTCCACATTCTGGTCACTGTCAGTGCCCATGTTGCATTGTTCGGTATCCGTAGTTATATCAGTACTAAAGGCCATTATTTGATCCACATCCAGATTTTTATTGTCTCCTGCAGTTTCTGAACTCACCAAAGGCAAGTCTGCGCTTGATTTTAAGAAACCCATATTGTCCGCTTGATCACCCATAGATGGGTCGTTCATTATAATGTCGATCTCCTTTTTTTCTGGACTGTCCAGAATGTCTGGTCGCTCACAGTCCTCTTTGATTAAAGCCTTCTTTGTAATCAAGTCAGATCCGTGCGTAAATGTAGACAAACTATCAAGATCATTGGCGTATTTCGAATTGATGACATCACGAATAAGATCCTTGGATATACCATGTAAACACTGCTCGTCAATCTTCGTTGGTTGAACGTTCGCAGAAACAACAAATTTCGCCAGAATTTCACGATTCTGACAGACTTGCGCAGCCTGCTCTGGGGAAAGGAACCCACCAGCTGGAAGGGAAGGGAGCAAATTTTCAGGCTTTTGAGGACCGCCTTCCGTCAGAGCAGGGGCCATCACTGCCACTGACACTGCCAGTGCTGCAGCCTCGACATCCAGAGGCTCCCACGTGCGGGCGCGCACACACCTGCACTTCACGTGCACTGTGCTCACTCCCATTCATCCATTGCTAATTTATTATCCTATGCCTTTATTATACTTCCTTATCGTCTGAATAAATGTCTTCTCAACAAATTTCTTCCTTTTTCCTATAATGTTCCTTAGCTCCTATTCATTTCGCTATAAACATTATGTTGCTTCATCAGTATTTTCTGTACCCATAATGCTTAACTTCTTTACTCATATATGTGGAGCCAATCAATGACATTAATTAACCTGTAAACAAATTATCAGTAATCAATTGAAAAGTAAAATACAATTTATACTAATTATGTAATGGTTGATTTTAAATTAGTACTGGATAAAATAATATTTGAAATAATAAATAAAAATATATTCATAGATTATTGCCTAAGCTGTGTTACAT